GAAGTAGTGTCCCATTTTTTTCACCAGACATTCGTTGTTGAATTTGTCACTGGGGGCATCAAGAAGAATCAGGCTCCATCCAGTTAGATGGACAGATTGGACACAGGGGACCAGGATCTCTCACCTGGCCTTGGATGGGGCAGAGGGGCTAGACTCCGTTGTCTTCACTTTGCTGTCCTGGCTCATGTTTCCGTGATGCCTGGATGTGGGATATTCAGGGCCTCTGCCTATAGCGGCCTCAGGAGGTGGGGGCTAGTGTCTGCCTGCCTCCCTGTCTGGAAGAGGCTGCCCTTGGCCTCCAGCTACAACTCCTCTGCCTCTGACTTCTGAAGCTCTTAGCAACACAACCAGGGCCAGCCCCTACTGAAGGGGCAGAGGCAGTGTGGCTCCAGCACCCCGCCCTGTCTCCCAGGGCCTGGGCTTACACCTGCCCAACTAAACATCTCTAATGAGATCCCTGGAGAAGGTGGGGGTGCATACCTCAGAGGTAAGGCTGGGCCTTGTTTCTTCTCCAACCCTGGCAAGCTGAACAACTTAGGGGTCCTTTAAGTCAGGAGATGGGGGTGCCAGTATAGGCTCAGATAGTCATTCTTTTTTACTTTGTGCAAGTTCTCTGCTTGGGTCTCATCATTTATTCATTTCACAACTATTTACTGAATGGCTCATTTGTGTCAGGTGCTGAATTAGTCTCTAGGGACAAACAATGCTTGTCACATCAAAAGTGAGCTCTGTTTTCATTATCTGCACCCTTATCTACATTTACGCCCACTTTACCTCATTTTTTTTAAAAAAATTTTTATTTGAAAGAGAGGGAGAGAGAAAGAGGGAGTGTGTGTGTGTGTGTGTGTATGTGTGTGTGTGTGTGGTTGTGTGCGCGTGCGCGCCATCATGGGCAGGAGAGAGAATCCCAAGCATACTCTTCTCTGAGCATGAAGCTGGATGGGGGCTTGATCTCATAACCCCGAGGTCATGACCTTAGCTGAAATCAAGAGTCGGACTGCTTACCTGACTGGGTCACCCAGGCACCCCAACCTTACCCATTCTTGAGTGATGAGTGTGATGGGGGCCATTCTCTGAGAGTTTTGCCCCATTCTTTCCTGTTACCTCTAGTACCCGATCCCATCAGCTATTCCATGTGTTGTCTAGATCCCCAACCTCCTTCAGTTTTCCCTTTCTATGAACATGCTTAAGTCTCTCCCATATCAAAACAAACAAACCAACCCCTGAAAATTCTCCCTCAACCTGAAGTCCCTTTCACTCCTATGATCTTTTCTCAGTCAACAGATCATAATCAGAAGACCTGCTATGAGCCAAGCCAATATTATGCTCAATATTAGGATAAAAGATGAATAAAACACATTTCCTGCCCTCATGAAACTCATTTTGGTAGGGGAAACAGTTGGGTAGATAGGCAGTTACATATCAGTTTGATGGTACTCTGTTAGGTGGATATACATAGGTTTGTTACATTATAAGAAGGGTCCCAACTGAGCCTGGGCTCTGTAGGATGGATAGGAGTTAGCTCTAGAAATGGGAGAATGAAGAGCAGTAGAGGCAAAGTGGATAGAGTGTGCAAAGGCATAGAGACTAAAAAACATGGTGACTGGGAGACATCGACTGGTTTCTGTAGAGAATGTGAGGGGCTAGGGGTGCAAGATGAAGCTGAATGGAGGACAGAGGACAGCCCAGGGACAGCTTTCTCAGCCATTTTATAAAGCTGGGTTTTATTTTTTTTAAGATTTTATTTATTTATTTGACAGAGAGGGAGAATATAAGCAGGGGGAGCAGCGGAGGGAGAAGAAGGCTCCCCATTGAGCAGGGAGCCCGATGTGGGACTCGATCCCAGGATGCTGGGATCATGACCTGAGCTGAAAGCAGTTGCTTAACCAACTGAGCCACCCAGGTGCCCAGCTGGGTTTTATTTTAAAGCAGTGGAGAACCTGCAAAGTGTTTTGTGTAGTTAAGTGCTATGATCAGATAAGTGTTTTTGAAAAGTTTCATGGAAGAAATGTCTGTAGTCCTCAACATTTTATTTTTTTGAAATCCTCTTTTCCCATGGCTTCTGTGACACCATAATTTCTTGGTTTTCTGTTTATTTCTTCTTAGTCTTTTCATAAACTTGTCTGTCCATCCTTTCTGTGTTGGTGTTTTTTAAGACTCTGACTTAGGCCTTCCTCTCCTTCTGTGCTCTTGGCTCTCTCTGGCTGATCTTGGTCACCCACAGGATCTCCTTTCCCATCTACTGACTCCCAGGAACTCTGAGCTGCAGACTTATATATACCACTAACTGCTCGCTGGATGTCCTTACCTGGATATCCCAGTCACCTTTAGCCCATTGGGTCTATTGAGCTCATTATCTCCCTTCTTCTCTTCTCTTGTAATCCCTCTTTCTGGTCTTTCAGCCCAGATATCTAGCATCAGTATTTATTATTATTATTATTACTGCCATTATTACTATTGTATGACATTGTGGCAGTTTTTAAAAATGGTCACAAATTCTTTGACACTCCTTCCTTGTGACTGTTTCAACCAACAGAATATAGCAGGAGTAAATTCTGAGGCTGGATCATAAAAGGCCATGCAGCTTCCTTCTGGTTCTCTTGGGCATGCTCATTGTCTGGAAGCTCCCCATCAGGATACTCCCTCTTGGAAACTAGCTGCCACATTGTGAGAAATGCAAGCCACAAAAATATTCATGTCCCTGTACTGTGTTTGACAGTCCCAGCTGAGCTTAGCCTTTGAGTTATACCAGCCCAGGCATCAGACACATGAAGAAGAGTGAAGAAGCCTCAGGTGATGCTAGCCACCACCCTCAAGTGACCCCCAGGTATTCAGGTGTCTTATATGAGGCCCCAGGCATCGTGGACTAGAGATACACCATTCTTGCTATGTGTTGGTTGAATTTCCAGAATCTCTGAGCATAAAGAAATGGTCATTTTTTTACACTACTAAGTTTGGGATGATGTGTTATGCAGCATAGTACCCAGAACAAACATATATATAAAAAAGTGCACATTTCCTAAGTATACAGCTTGATGAATTTCATAAAGTGAACACATCCATGTAACCAGCACTCACATGAACCAGCACTCACTCTGCCCCCTTCCAGTCATTGCTTTTCCAGGTGTAATCACTAGCCTGACTTCCAATACCATAGTTGAATTTTGCCTGTGAATGAACTTATATAAACTAAGCATCAGTTTTTAATCCTTTTATTTTCCTTTCGTATGCATCTTGTCATCAAGTCCTGGTGCCCTACCTTCATGTCCACATGCCCATTTCTCTGTAACTTTACTACTTCAGTTTGGGCCTTACTAATTTGACCATGTATAAAATTCTTCATAGTTCTCTGTTATCCCAAGGATAAAATCTAAAGTCCTTCACTTGGCATACAAATCCCCAGTTCCTGACCTCTGTTCATGTCTTCAGCCTCATTGCTCAGTGTTTCTTCTGCATGTTGCCCAGGCCCCAGACGTGCTGTACTGATTGTAGTTCCCAAGGCTCCTCCCCACCTGTTGTTCATTCTTCCTTACCTTAGTATGGGCTGATCCTTCAGGCTGAAACTTCCATTTCTTTTTCTTTTTTAAAGATTTATTTATTTATTTATTTATTTGAGAGAGAGAGAGAGAGAGAAAGAGAGAGACAGCAAGAGAGGGAACACAAACAGGAGGAGTGGGAGAGGAAGAGTCAGGCTTCCGGCTGAGCAGGGAGCCTGAGGCGGGGCTTCATCCCAGCACTTTGGGATCACGACTTGAGCTGAAGGCAGATGCTTAACGACTGAGCCACCCAGGTGCCCCAATTTCTTTTTCTTTTTAAATACTTTTTATTTTAAATGAATTTCAGGCTTACAGAAAGTTGCGGAAAATGTACAGAAAGCTCCCGGAAACTTCTTAGCCATGTTCCCTTGTTATCATCTTACATAACCAGAGTACGATGATTAACATTGGGAATTAACATTGGTACAATGCTTTGAACTAAGCCACAGACCTGGTCTGAAACTTTCATTTCTCTTAGTTTACTATACTCTTGCTTGTTTCCTGCTCAGACATCATTTACTCCTGAAGACTTCCCTAAGCCCCCTTGCCCTTCTTTCCGTTCATCTCACAAGCCATGCTAAGTGCTCCTCCTCGATGGCAATGATTACACTATATTGCAATTGTCTGGCTTAAGGGCTGAGGTCTTGCAGGGCAGATATGGGTTCTAATTGATTTGGCTGGAATCCTGCCCGGTGTGGAGGTGCTTGTTCCAAGTTCCTTGAGTGACTGAACAAGACGTGTCCAAGGAGGAATACGGGGCAGCAGGTGGTGGGGTAACTAGGAAGGGGCGGTCATCGGCCGAGTACAGTCTAAGCCATGCGCGCAGATGAGGCAAAATGACCTAGTCTGTTTGCAGTCAGCCTTCTCTTAGGCTCAGCTTCTCCACAGGCCCCTCGTACCTACTGACTCCTCCCCCCAGACCTACCCTTCGTGCTAGCTCCGCCTCGTCCAGATCACTCTCCCACCCTAACCACCTCCCGGGACCATCGGCCCCGCCCTTCCACGCTAGTCTCCTCCCCCTTGGCTCTCTTTCCGAAGCCCCGCTCCTGGCCTTTCCCTGCCTCTTAAAGTCCCGTCCCTCCTTAGGTCCCGCCTTCTGCCCTCTGGTTCGACCTTTTCTCCTCAGGCTCCGCCCCCGCCCTACGGTCCTCCGCCTCCCCAGAAGTCTTTCCCTATGACACGCTGGAGTCCTTCAGAGGGGCGGGGTTTACAGGGCGAAGAGGCGGGACCCGGAGAAGAGGCGGTACTCCTCGCTCGAAATACTGTCCGCGACCCCACCCCGGCACTCGGTCGTTGCCAGGAAACAAGCACGACGCTCCGGCTCTGGCCGGGTCCAGCCAATGAGCTGGCACGCCACTGCCCAGCGGTGCGTCGCTGGGCGGTTACGTGGGGTGCGCGGGGGCGCGGGTTGCGTGTGGCGCGGGGCGGGGCGCGGCTGGTGCGCCTGAGGAGCGATGGCGGCTGCCTGAGCTCACCTAGCACGGCTGCGGCGATCGGGCCTGGTCAGGGTCGGGGTTCTGTGAGTGAACGGCAAGTATGAGTCGCAGGGCCCGGAGAGGCGTGTGAGGGGCAGAGGGACTGGGAAATAACGGCACCGGATTTGGTGACTCTGCTGGTTGAGAGGGGACAGGGTGAGGGGCCGGCATGTGGTGAGGGGCCGAGTGTGAGTGGCTAAGGTAGGGGAGTAGCGTAAGAGCCTAAGGGTGAACGGGCAAGTGAGGAGCTGGTCAAGAAGAAGGGCTAGGGATGCTTTTCGAGGGGCCAAAGGAAAGGGACTTATGAACACGGTTTAGTGAAGGGCTGAGGCACCTGTGGGCAGGGGTGAGGGCAACCCTGAGACCAGAGTGAGGGGGTACGGCCTTTGCGAGGAGGGGAGAGTAAAGGGCAAAGGCGGGATCATGCAGGCTGGTGGGAAATGGGTGAAGGAGTTGAAGCTAGGGCATGAGGGAAGGAATGAGGATTGTGAAGCTTGGATAAGGTTGAGGTTGGTTCTGGAGCCTACTTCGATGGACTGTCCTGCCCAGTGTCCTGCCTAGTCTCGGACCGAGTAGGACAGCTTGGGTGAAAGTGTTGTGCACTTGGCTTTAGGAGAACAGAAAAACGAAGGCGTCATGGGCAGTAATAACTGTGATAATGAAAATCATTTTTGAGGCTTAGTTTTTAACCAGAGTAATCACTGAAACTGTGGTTTCTCAGGTTCCTCTTTGGGGCTCCAAACTTGGAGATGGCTTTTCTCACGTAGGGTTTTTTGGCCACGACAGCCTATGTTTGTTTTCTCTCCACCTGCTTCTGGGCAACCTTACTCCTCTGCTGCTCCTCACTTTGTTTAGCTGTGGGGCTCTGATGGTTGTCATCTAAATTGGACTAACCATTTTCAGTTGCTAATTCTACTTTCATGAAAGTCACATGGTTTGTTACATACAACACTATATTTAGGCTCAAACAGAATGGCTTTGCTCTCAGTTTCTTTCAGTTAAAAAAAAATCCTACCTTTTTGAGGTAAGTTTATATACAATAAACTGCTCATATTTAAAATGTGCATGAGTGTTGCCATATGTTTACATCTGTGAAGCCATCACCACTTTCAAGATACTGAACATTCTACTGCCCCCTTTGCACTCCTATCCCTTTGCACTCATTCCTCCGTCCATGACACATTTTTGTGTTCACTTCATTAGTATTTTACAGATCCCTTTCTCCCTGCCAACCCATACTACATGAACATTTTAAAAGTTCTAGACAGCTGATCTAGTGGTGGACACTTCACTTTCCCACCACTAAATTTTCCTCTCTAGTGACTGTCGATCACAGGGCCCAGATACCTTCCCCAGCCTCAGGGAGATTTAAGCCTTTCCTATCCAGACTGTTTTCTTGAGAATTAGGGGCAGTCCAAGTGCAGGTTGCCATTCTGTTCTAAAGTCTCAGCCTCGGGACCAACTGTTCTGACCTATGGTATGTTTTCATTGCTTTGCTTTGGAGGCCATACATTTTCATGCTGATGGAACCCTTGCACCTACCCTGATGGGCAGAACCCTGTATAACCGACATGTGTCATAACAGGGTTTAGAGCAGTGATTCCTAAACACTGGGCCAAGGATAGTGCCAGTCCATGATAAAGATTTCATCCGTCCAAGGAGGAGGGCGAGAAGGAGAACATATGAAACATGAATTTTTCATAAAGATAAGTTCATTCTTAGATTACTCTTTTAGTGTTAAAGTGCTGACTGATGAAACAATGACAGTAGATGGTGGGTTTTAAAGAAATGGTCTTATTTGCCAAAATAAGACGTAACAAGCCTATTTCTAAAATTCTTTAGAAATTATTTTTACTGGTTCCCAAAATGGAGAAATTTAGAGTGATGATGGGTGGTTGTTGTTATTATGGTTGAGAAGGCCTAATTCTAGATAATTTCTGAAATTTGAACAGCATTCATTCAATCTCTCTTTTCCCTGGGTTTACATACTTTGTGAAGTAGGCACGGGCAGGAATTCTTATGTTATAGAAGATGACTCAAACTTATGAACCAGAGGTCACGTATGGTAAAGTGGCAAAGCTGAACCCAATCTGGTTTCCTGAGAGTGGGTGAGTTGGAGGAAGAAGGTTTGTAGCAGAGTGAAAGCCATGTTGACTAAAAGGCATGTTAGGTATGGGAAAAGTTGTAATGATTCAGAGGACATTATACTGGCAAAAAGCATTTTTTATGATTTGCAATTAGTGTGGTTCCAAAAGAGATTAAAGGGACTTTGAGGATGACATAGAGATGAGGGTTCTGTTTAATATTGTGGCAATGACATGGGAACAGGTATACATAATACCTGGATCACATTGTGTTAGTGGTCGGATGAGTCAAGTCATCAGAGTGTTCTTAGGGACTGTCCAGATTCTCAGGTGTTCTGGAGAAAGCACTGGATTTGGTAAGCTATACTGAACTCTGTTGAAATAGTGCAGTGAGTAAAATGGATTTTGACTTAGACATACAGCCCAGTGATAGATCTGAGAAGAAGTAACCTAAATGAGGGTGGTGATGTAGAGGTAGAAACATGTTTGGAGTGCTGTGTGTAACTGTTTATTCTGCATCTGCTATGCACCAGGCACTCCGCTCAGTGCTGGGAGAGCAAGTTCATTCATTCATATATTAATTCATTTATTCATTCAGCTCATGCTTTTTCAGTATGTAGTCTGTCCTTGTGAGGCTTACATTTGATGAGTTAACAAAGTAAACAAGACATGGTCCTCTGAGGTCTCAAGGAATTCTCAGTCAGGTTGGGAGAGGTAGATACATGAAAAGATAATTTTAGTTTAGAGAGAGAGTGTGAAATACAAAAGCATATCATGGGGATATAGTCTCTCCCTGTGTCATACATGTTCTGTGGTCTACCATATATCTGCGCAGGTATTACAGATTTATATATCCAAAACAGCACTCAGTGCCTTTGCTCTGAGAGCATGCCCTTGTATCACATGCCCTGTCTCAGTTCCGGCAAGGACTTCAGTGTCCTCTTCATTCTTTCTGCTTCTTCATCCCCTGCATTTAATCACTCACTAAAATCTTAATATATTTCCCTCTAAAGTATTTTCCTCTCCATCTCCATGGCTACTTCTTAACTGTTAAAGTTTTAGTTTACTTCTAATATCTTATCTGGATCCCACCCCACCCCCCCAACAGTCTCCTGCCTTCAGTCTTGCTCTTTTCTATTCTGTCCCTAGAATGATCTTCCTAAAAATACAAATGTAATCATGGAGCTCCTCTCTGCTTAAAAACTTTTGGCTCTTTGTGTTCTGTAGGACAACATCCAAATTCCTTAATATGGCATCATTTGGCCTCAACTCACCTCTCCAGCCTCATCGCCTGCCACTCCTTACTTTGTGTTCTAGCTTGAATAAATTGTTCACAGTTCCCTAACAAACATGTTACTTTTTTGAGCCTTGAGATCTTTGTAATAGCTGTCTCCCTTGCTAAGAATACTTTTTCTTCTCTGCCCAGTGAACTTCCCTTGTTCTTTAGGATAGTTCATTCTCTCCTCTTCTTTTTGACATCTTCTTTGTCATCATCACCCAAGAGGGGTGGAGAAAGAACTGTGTGTGACATGGAGATTCACTGCTGTAAAGGGGAATCAACGTGATAGAGGTTATGTAAAGGCTGTGCTGAAGTCAGGCGAGCTTCCCTGCAAGAAGCAGAAGTTCTTGGGGAGAGGGTAGGGAGTGAGTTGGGATCATGCATTGATAGCCCATTTTTCTTATACATGTTGGCTGAGGGATGGACAAGCAGGGAGGATATGTGTAAGCTGAGCTCTAGTTTAGTAGGCTCCTGTGATTTCCCCCCCACCCCGCTTGCCTTTTGTACTGCTATGAGGTTTTAATCAGATCTTTCTACTTTCGGTATTTACGGTAATGGCTCATTCATGCCTTCTATGTCAGTAATCAGTCTTCTTGCCTAGGAAGAGCTATTGTAGGGAGAGAAACCTTAGGACTTTTCTGACCTGTTCTTGAAAGGTCATTTTGGTCTCTCCCTGTCTGCTGTGGATATTGTAGGTGTATCCCTGCTCTCAGCTCCCTCCCTGTCTTGCCTCTCCCAGAGCAAAGGTTCATAAGGGAGGCTGAGCCACTTCCTGCCCTGTGCCTGCTATTCTGAGGTTGGTGGACACCCTTGCTGAATGTGCCTATAAGGCTATATTTTGTGCTATAAGGTGAGTGACTGACCTTGGCTGTTTGTGGGTCTGAAAGATCAGCTCTTCCTTCCCTCTTTTCCCCTGTGGCTGAGCCTGAACTTACATCTAGGAAGAGAGGTCTACTCTTTTTTCTAGACTTTGCAGTGAGACGAAAGGGCATAGTAATAAGGTGGTGATTCCATTCTCTTTGTCTTGTTATTCTCTTTGTCTTGTTTTGAACTTTGCTCAGTTAAGAGGGAATGAGAGAGTCTTAAGTAGGTGACAGGAACACCAAGCTATGGTCTTTTGTTTTTGCCGTATGTGAAGGGGGCCCAGGTTAAGTGTTAGCTTTTGTCTTTCTTCTGAGACCCTGATTTCAGCGTGGTTCTTCTCTTTGAGGTCTTTGAGAAGAGTTGAAGATGAGGGGATGAAGAAAGGTCCTGGAGGCTATCCTTCTTGGGTCTGAGAGAAGTGCCCTTTGTTGGTCAAGTAGGGAAGCAGAAGTGGGCACCCCAGTTGCAGTCAAGGTAGGAGTTGGTTGTTAATCTTTGAAATTGAGTTCTAGGAGCTGAAGGGAGTTCAGTTTTGGACATGTTAAGTAAGGTTTTATTTTGCTGAGACTGGCTGCTTTGCCCTTCCTCAGCTCACTAGATGATGAATGTGGGGTGGTAGGGATGGATGTGTCAGAGCAGGTTAGATATCTTCTCAGAGGTAAGAATATCTTGGTCAGATAAGACCAGAAGAAGGAAGGGAGAAAGGAAAATGTTATTTACGGAGAGACTGCTTTGTATGCCTGGCATGCTATGCAGATTATTTTATTTAATTTTTAAAACAGTAACAATACAAGGACACTGAGGCTCCCACGTATGA